TTGGGGGAGATTGGGGGGGTTTGGGAGGGGATTGGAGGGCTTGGGGAGGTCAGTTTTGGGGCTCCCCAGGTCAGTTTTGAAGTTCCCAGGTCAGTTTTGGGGTCCCCAGGGGTGATTTTGGAGTTCCCAGGGGTGACTTTGGAGTTCCCAGGTCAGTTTGGGGTTCCCATATCAGTTTTGGGGTCACTTTTGGGCTCCCCAGGGGTGATTTTGGGGTTCCCAGGTCAGTTTTGGGGTTCCCAGGTCAGTTTTGGGGTCACTTTTGGGGTCCCCAGGTCAGTTTGGGGTCAATTTTGGGGTCCCCAGGGGTGATTTTGGGGTTCCCAGGTCAGTTTTGGGCTCCCCAGGTCAGTTTTGGGGTTCCCAGGTCAGTTTTGGGGTCAGTTTTGGGGTCCCCAGGTGATTTTGGGGTCACTTTTGGGCTCCCCAGGGTGATTTTGGGGTTCCCAGGTCACTTTGGGGTCAGTTTTGGGCTCCCCAGGGTGATTTTGGGGTCCCCAGGGTGATTTTGGGGTCAGTTTTGGGCTCCCCAGGGTGATTTTGGGGTCACTTTTGGGCTCCCCAGGGGTGATTTTGGGGTCCCCAGGTCACTTTGGGGTCCGTTTTGGGGTCCCCAGGGTGATTTTGGGGTCACTTTTGGGCTCCCCAGGGTGATTTTGGGGTCACTTTTGGGCTCCCCAGGGTGATTTTGGGGTCACTTTTGGGCTCCCCAGGGTGATTTTGGGGTCACTTTTGGGGTCCCCAGGGTGATTTTGGGGTCACTTTTGGGCTCCCCAGGGTGATTTTGGGCTCCCCAGGGTGATTTTGGGGTCCGTTTTGGGGTCCCCAGGGTGATTTTGGGGTCACTTTTGGGCTCCCCAGGGTGATTTTGGGGTTCCCAGGGTGATTTTGGGGTCCGTTTTGGGGTCCCCAGGGTGATTTTGGGGTCACTCACTGCACGGCCTCGGGGGAGCCGGTCAGGGACACGCTGCGCTCCGGGAGGCCGCCGCTGTCTGGGGGGGGCGGGGGCAGATTCGGGGTTCAGGGGGGCCCCCCACGCTGGGGGGGGTCCGCGCCCCCCGTTTTGGGGGGCCAGGGGCGGTTTTGGGGGTCCCTACCTGGGGAGATCTGCACCTTGCACCCCGAGTCCTGCTGGATCTTGTTGATCTGCTCGCCCCCCCGGCCGATGACTGCGGGGGGACACGGGGTTTGGGGGGTCCCCGACCCCCCCGAGACCCCCCCAAAATCCCACTGACCCCTGGGAGCACCCCCAGAACACCACTGACCCCCCCAAACCCCCCAAAATCCCACTGACCCC